TTCTAAAAAATAATAATTAAACATATAAAATACTTAATAATTAAAATATTACCTTATAATTCGACTTTGCAAAGCCCATGAACCATCAAGGTGACGACCATATAACCTCTCTTTTGATTAGAAGTCCACATGTCGGTTGTGATGGCAATTCTACTTTGATTTTCCTCCAACAGCTTCATTTTTTTGGATTTTTCTTGTTGATATATGTTGATAATATCCTTCTTGATTGTGTTTATTGAAATCATCTTGAATCTTGGTTGAAGGGTAGCAACAAACCTTCTAAATCCAATATGCTCCACAATTGATAAAGGATACTCATGTAAAGCAATCATGCAGGCAAGTTCCTTTCTTACATTCTCATTATTAAAAACAACAGTAGTAAGTTCTGATTTCCCTTCACTATTCCTTGAAACCTTCAAAAAAGTTTACCTTATATCAGCAATACATTTCAATGGGCAAGCCTTTAAGTGATCGTGCAAATGTTTTGTTCCATTCTTAGTTTCACGACCAAGCATTTTGCTACAATAGATGCATATTGCTGTCCATGTGCCATTAACTTTTTGTCTCTTAAAAGACTCCCATGCCTTAAAAGTCAATGCTCGTTTATGGCCAACCTTTTCATTTTCATTAACACCTTCTTCTTCTTCTATTACAATAGGAGGCATAGCAAAAGATGAAGTTGGTGTTGGTGTTGTCAGAGGACTTGGGCTTGACATAAAATTACCACTTGATTCATTTGGAATTTGAATTGGTGGTGGAGCTTGAAATGATCCCTTAGCACTTTGCTCTTTTGTGTTAGATATTTATCATCTAAAGATAAATTTAAAAAAAAAAACAATTATGCCTTTCCATTGAAATATAAAATAAATTTTCATACCAAATAAATCATTATAAAATAAACTTTAAACTTTTCTATATTGTATGTATATCAGTATATGACTATATGTAAAAAAATTAACTAGGCAATTCACTAATATAAATGGCTATAAGCAGTCATTAAATCTAGTAAATTCTAGAAAATCCAAACTTTCTCTATCTTAATTCAACCATAATCAAATTATTAAACTTCTTACCGTTGGATGCTGAGCTTTAAAGCTTGAAAGACACCAAGGAGCAACAAGCTAGGATCGAAGAATCTAAGCAAGCTGCGCTGAAAGCCTGGGAAGATACTAAGAAGGCAGTCGCTCAAATCTTCTGGAAAATGGAATTTATTTTAATTAGACCAGTATGTACGGCCATTGATGACAAAAAGGGAGTTCGGCATAGGCAGCAAGCAGAGAGGGAGTTCGGCACAGGGCAGCAAGCAGAGAGGGAGTCTGGCACAGTGCAGCAAGTAGAGAGGGAGTCCGGCACAGGCAACAAGCAGAGAGGGAGTCCGTCACAGGCAGTAAGCAAAGGAGTCCGGCACAGTGCAGCAAGTAGAGAGGGAGTCTAGCACAAGCAGCAAGCAAAAAGGGAGTCCGGCACAAGCAACAAACAGAGAGGGGGTTCAGCACAGGCAACAAGTAGAGCAGAGACAAAGTTCAGCAGTCAGCAAGATGAATTCCAGCAGATCTGCAGGCTGCAGCTAACAGCTTTGACAGTAGCTCTAGGAGCGTATCTGTAACAGCTCCAGCAGCATATTTGTAACAGCTCCAACAGCAGATCTGTAGTAGCAAGAAGGGGAGAGGAAGGTTGAAAGTGAGGTGAGACTTGAGAGCTTGATTGTCTGACCAAGACCAAGAATGAGTGAGAGGCTGTGGCTGCATGCATGAGTGAGGAGAAAGGGAGGGGAAATGAATAAGGTTATGAAATTAGGGTTGGAAGGGGGATTAATTAGGGTTGGAACTTGTAAGGAGGATGTTGGGTTGGCTGGATGGGTTGGCTGGATGGGTTGGCTGGATGGGTTGGCTGGATGGGTTGGTCGGTTGGGTTCGATACTTGGGTTGGGTTGAGTTGCGTTGGATAAAATTTAATTTTTATTGAATTGAGTTTGGGTTTTATTTTAAATATTAAATTAAATTTAAAATATATTTTTTAAAATTTTTCGCGGGGATGAGGGTCCCCGCGAGGCCTTGCGAAATTTCACGATGAGAAAATGCCCCCCATCCCTGCACCTCCCCGTGACGGGGATCCCCGCGGGGCCCCACAAGGATTGGGGGAAATTGCCACCCCTAACTATTGCAAAGTATATACTGG